ATAAACAAAAATATTAAATAAAATGGTTCAAAGAATGAAAGAACTCCCTTTTTTAGGTTTCTAGAGATCTGTGAGACATTTTACATTTAACAAAAGGATGAATAGTAAACTTTCAAGGGAAGCAGTAACTCAAGGGCATAAAGAGATAATATATATTATATGTGTTTACATCTGCCAGGAATTAATGGATTGAAACCTACCAAAAAAAAAATAAAGATGAAACTTCAAATAAATGGGAAAACGAAAGAAAAAATCTTGGTAAAGTTCAATGTAATAGTAGAAAATACAAAACTATTTATTTTTAATAACAATATATGCATAATATTGAAATAGTATATAGATGGTATATAAGTTTACACATGTATATACATATATGTCTATATGTGTGTGTGAATTTGGAAATAATAAGGCAGAAATATCAGATTACATATGAAGAAGAAAAAGAAGTATGGTGGTGAAATTTGAGGGGAAAAAAGGGACAAAGAGAGAGGAAGTATCAATAATTTAGTAGATTATATGGAACTGTTTGAGAAGCAAGAAAAGGCTACAAAGAGAGCAGAAAGAACATGGGCTAATAGGGTATCAAACAAAAGAGGAAAAGAGCAGCAAACATTCTGGATAAGAAATAATTATAGTATCACTGGGAAAGCACCATTGACACTGAAGGCTATATTGTCTATTGTTTTTATTGTTGTTAATTAACATTTATATAGCACTTACTGTATGTCACTCAGTGTGTTGAGAACTTTACAATTATTATCTCATTTGATCCTCACAACAACCCTGAGAAGTAAGTGCTATTTTTATTGTCATTTTACAGATAAGGAAACTAAGGCAGACAGAGGTTGTGCCTAGTAAGTGTTTGAGGCCAGATTTGATCACAGGTCTTCCTGGCTTCAGGTCCAGCACTCTATTCACCACTCCAACTAGCTTCCCCTGGTAATAATAATACCAGGATAAATAATTATATTCTTAATGATATTAATAATAGCTAAGATTTATTTCCTTTACCTCTGGTACCTTGACTAGGTTAAAATATTTCTTTTGATTGAATCATGTAATCCATACAGAGTTTGAATAGGGCCCATATATCTCCTTGAATTATTCAAAATCACAGTGTGAGAAACTGTGCCCTAAGCACTTTGTATAAAATGGAGAAGCTATCTCACAATTTGAGAAAGATAAGATTTTAAGCATTGGGACTCAAGAGGTCAGAATAAGGATGGAGCAAAGGAAGCATTGAGATGTAGCAAGAGAGGGGAGATATCAAGAAGAGTCCTTGGCTGGAAAACTATTGTGTAGAGCAGGATAAAGGCTGAGACAAGTCCAAAAAAATGTAGGTTTTTTTCCCCAACTTTTGAAACTTCTCAATGCCTGTCTTTACAAGATGCTATAATATAATCAAAAGGTTTGTTAAGCAAACCTTCCCATTAAATTGAATTTTTTCTCAACTGTAAAGAGGTCAGTGGTTAAGTAGAGAGATATAAATGTAAACTTAGGTGGAGAACTTAACTTCAGTGTATGTATTAGGAATGTTTCCTACTAAGGGCTAAGAGCAATTGTGACTGATTTCAAATTTTTTTCATCTAAAATAAACACCCTAAAGCTGAAGAGTTGAAAGAGAAGTCAAGGGGAAAAAAGGAAACAAAGTAGACCTTGATGATGATGATGATGATGATGATGGCAATAATAGCAACATTTATATAGTGCTCACTATGTGCCAGGGGTCATTATATTTTCTCCAATGCTTAAAACAGGCTAATTTTTATTAGAGGATGTTACATTTACCTCCTTTAAAGTTTGCAAACCACTGTCCACATTATCTGACTTGATCCTCGCAAAAATGTTGTCAAGTAGGTGCTATTATTTCCCCTATTTTATAGAGGGGAAAACACAACCACATGCATGCCAAAACATGAGAGGATTTTGGAGTAAACCTTGGACTGAAATATGTAGTAGCCTAGGGAACAGTGAAATGACTAGCACAGTATAACTGAGTACTTTGAATTCTTAAAAGAAGAGAGGGAAGATGTAAGAATCTGAGTAGAAAAATCCTTACACATGATATTTATGGGAATCCAACAAAGGTTGGGAAAAAATTTTCAAGAATCAAAGGCACAAAAACAGGTCTTGAAGAGTAGAAAATAGTTGACTGTAATAAAATTACGATAAATAATAGAAAATACCATAGAAAGAAGACAGGAAGGCTATTATGTAATATTTATATCACTAAAAAGATCTTAGTCAAATAAACCATGTTTTCTCTTAAAAAGAATGAAAGGATCTATTTATTAAGCTATTGAAATTTGTGAGATCATTATGAGCCAGTAGGAGCAGCATCCCTGGACTCATAAGGTAGTTGAAAAAAAGAATTAAGAATTACAGTACCAAGGGAATGAAGCAGCATTGCCCATATTGCCCTTTACTGTGCATTTAACCTATTGCTCTGTCCATAAAAATCAAGAAAATACTGTCAATTTTGAAAAACAGAAGTGTAAATATGAAAAAGGAACTGATATACATAAACTAAGTCTAATCATAATGTTAATAAAAAGGCATCATTCTAGCAATAACAAAAGAAAGGTAGTGAATACTTAATTTGTTTTTAAAAGAGAGAATATTCTAGAAAAGCTGGAGGAAAGACCAATGACTTTTAAAAGTTATAGAAATAAGATGAAAGATATGAGGATATTGGTGATGAACAATAATAGTTGTTATAATTATGAAAATAATAACTCATGTTTCATGATGACTTAAGGTATGCAAAATGCTTTTACAATAATGGGACCTTGGGTTATGTAGTCCAAGCATCATTACCTGCATTATAGAGATGAGGAAACTAGAGCTGTAAATCTAACTCTAGCAGCTGATGAATGTCTAAGGTATGATTCTTACTCAGTTTTATTGACTCTAAGTCCAATAGATTTGGTATCACCCACTCCAATAAAGTGAAAGTGTCTTGAGAACTGGAATGATTTTGTTTTGTTTTGTTTTATTTTTGTCTTTTTATCCCAGTACCTCATGCAATGTTTGGCAGAACCATACCAAAGTTGGGTTGACTAGAATTTTCCCAAGGATTCTGACATTTAGGGGGCACTAAAACAATGCATGTTTCTCCCACATCTTAACCAGAAATGGTTAAGCTTAGCACATAGCAAGAATAAGAAGTTGAAACCAGAAATAATACATCTACTTCCTTTCCCCAGATTCCACACTGAACACAGATAAGCTGTCAACCTTCCTCTCCTAGTCAAAGAGACAGTCTCCTTGTGACCCAGGGTTACTGTTTCTTTCCCTCTTTCCCACTCTCCCACATCCCTGAACTGAATTCATTTCAAAGCTAATGTAAGAATGTTTTTCATATTTGCTGTGGGGGCATTTTGTGAAACTCATTTCATGCACAAAATGGCAGTAGTCACAGTTCTTGTACTGGAACATAGCTTTTAAAAGATGATTTTCAATTGAATTATAAAAAGGTAATGCTTAACTTAAAATACTTTTTTTAATAGAAAATTACAATCTATGAAAAAAGGAGTGGTGATGTAGATCAAGGAATTCAGATAATATGAAGAGCTAGAAAAACTTTAGAGCTCATTTAATCCAATCAACTAGTTTTAACAGACTGAGAAATTAGTATGAGAGAGTGAAAGTGACTAGCCCAAGATCATTCAGGACATAAGTGATAGAGACAGGACTCAAGACAGGACCTTGATTTCCAAATCCAGTGCTCTTGGAAGAACAAGGACTGATGTTTAAAAACATATAAAGGAAATTTAATAGTGTCATAAAATATATATCATATCATATCATAGTTATAAAATAAAAAAACAACAACTACAGATTAAAGAATGAAGACATTGAAGGATTCAATCCCACTGTATTTTGCCCTAGTAAGCCCAAAAAGAGATTATTATGCTCAGTTAGGACTTCATATTTTAGAAAGGACATTGATAGTAAAAGGACTGTAAACCATGACAAAAGAATTATACATATTTAGCCAAAAGAGGAAAGCCATGGTGGTTAATAGACTTGAATCCATACCACCATTGAAGGAACTGGAACTGTTTAATCTAGAGGTGTCTCAGAGAGGATATGATAGCTGACTTGAAATAAGTGCAGGAATGTTATATGAGAGGGGATAGATTTGTTCTTGGATCCAGAGGGTATAAATAAAAATGAATGGTAATTTAAGGGAGGTAGATTTAAAATCAATAGAAACCATTCCCCCCCAAAATAAATAAACTTCCTCAAAATTAGGAGTATCAAAGAATAAAATCTGGTGCCTCAGAAGGTAATAGATTCCTCTTCTTTAGAAATCCTTAGGCAATCAATGGACAGCAACTGATTAAAATTGAAAAAAAAAACCAATTCCTCTTAAAATGTAGTTTGGGCTGCACAGTCATTGAATTCCTTTCAAACTTTGAGGTCATATGATTCTGTGACATTAAAATCACTACAAGGAAGCACAAGGGATAGAAATTGGAGATCAAGATAAGATATTTGGAATGTACAGGATAAAGTTTTGGGGTAGGAAAGACAGTTCCTATCCAAGAGAAAGATACAGGGAACAAGAGCAAGATTAACATTTGATTTGTGAATGCGTCCCCTCAAAAAGAAAAGACTTTTGGAAATAAGCAATATTCTTCTGGAGTCAAGATTGCAGAGTAATCGGTAAGTTGCTATCACTTTCCCCCTTTGACTTTAAAAAAAAAAAGAAAGAAAGAAAAATAAACAAACAAACAAACCAGAAAATAGTGGCCTAGGAAAAATCCTCAAACAGCACAGCCAGCAGAAAGACAGGGTTGAACAGTCTCTTAGGCTGGGAAATTTGGAGGATCAGCAAGAAAGGTTCATTTTACTATGGTAAAAGGGGAGCCCATTCCAGGGTAGGAAGTGTCCCAGCTAGCCAGAAGTAAGCCCCACGTCAGCAAACTGGCATGAGATCCTGAGTACCAGAGTGGTGGAGTAGGCAAAGGCTAACACCAGGACCTCCAACGTGCCTTAGCATAGCTGGGAGAACCAGTAGACTCCAGCTCTGAGAACCACCACTTGGGTCGATGCAGACTGGGATGTGCAGGTATCACCCAGCAGTAGACCTCCATGTGATTCAGTACAGCCCTAGGTGGGTAAGCATCCTCTAGCACCCAGACCTCCTTGTGTTCCAGGGGAGCCCTGGGTGGGCAGGAGTCCTCCAGGAACAGACCTCCAAGCGTTTCAGTGCAGTCTCAGGCCAGTAGGCATCCTCCAGCGGCTGAACCTCCCCGAGCTTCAATGAAACCCAGAGAGGGCAGGTATCCTACAGCAGAGAACCTCCCCTGCTTCCCCACATACACAGGCTAGAGGGCAGGCATCCTCCAGCACCCAGACCTCCCCCTGTTTTAGGGCAGCCATGGGGAAATGCAGAAAAACCCCACTTGGCCTCAGCACAAGCCAGACACCACCACTGGGATCCCAGCTCAGCAACAGGTAAAATGCCAGAGCCCTACAGCCTCCAGCTGCCAGCACCTAAAGACCCCAGCATACAAAGCCATACAGGCCCCTGGTCCACTACACAACAAGCTTGGGACAGTGCCCCTGTGCTCCAGCAGGAGAGCTCAACTTTAAAAGCCAGGAAATCAGCAAGCACCATGAGCAAGAAGTAGAAAAAAAATACTGACCATAGAGAATTATTATGCTCCCAGGAAAGACCAAAACACAAATTCAGAAGAAGACAACATTGTTAATATACCTACATCTGAAACCTCAAATAAACATGTGAATTGGAACCAAGTCCAAAAAGCTTTATTGGAAGAGCTCAAGAAGGATTTTAAAAGTCAAATAAGAAAAAAAATGTGAAAAGAAAGAGGTATGCAAGAGAGAGTCAACAGCTTGGAAAAAGAAAGACAAAAATTGACTGAAGTAAATGATTCTTCAAAAAATATAATTGGCTGAATGGAAAAGGAGGTACAAAAGTCCACTGAAGAAAACAATTTGTTAAAAATTAGAATTGGGCAAGTGGAAGCTAATACCTCTATGAGACATCAAGAATCAGTCAAACAAAATCAAAAGAATGAAAAAAAAATAGAAGAAAATGTTAAATACTTCATTGGAAAAACAATTGACATTGGAGATGTGGGAAAATTGGAATACTAACACATTGTTGGTAGAGTTGTGAAATGATCCAACAATTTTGGAGAACAATTTGGAACTATGTCCACAGGACTATAAAAATATGCATACCCTTTGACTCAGCAATAGCACTTCTAGGGCTGTATTACAAAGAGATAAGAAAAATGGGAAAAGGTCCCACATGTGCAAAAATATTTATAGCAGCTCTTTCTGTGTTGGCAAAGAATTGGAAATTGAGGGGATTCCCATCAATTGGGGAACGGCTGAACAAGTTGTGGTATATGAATGTAATGGAATACTATTGTGCTATAAGAAATGATTTGCAGGCAGACCAGAAAAACCTGGAAAGACTTGTCTAGACTGATGCTGAGTGAAGTGAGCAGAACCAGGAGAACATTGTACACAGTAATAGCCACATTGTGCTATGACTAACTTTGATAGACTTAGCCCTTCTCAGCAATGCACGGATCTAAGACATCTCATGATAGAAAATGCTATCCACATCCAAAGAAAGAACTGTGGAGTTTGAATGCAGATTGAAGCATACTATCTGCTATTTTTTTTCCCTTTTGTTTTGTTTTGTTTCCTCTTTCTTATGGTTCCTCCCTCTTATGGTTCTACTTCTTCCTTATAACATCACTAATGTGAAAATATGTTTAATAAGAATGTATACGTAAGCCTACATCAGATTGTGCACTGTCTTGGAGAAAGAGGGAAGGAGGGAGGCAGGGGGAGAAAAACTTAAAACTCAAAAGCTTATGGAAGTGATTGTTGATAAATCAAAATAAATTAATAAAAAATTAAAAAAAAAAGATAAATGGAAAAATAATTGATCTGGAAAATAGATCCAGAAGGATAATTTAAGAATTATTGGTCTATCTGAAAGCAATAACCCAAAAGAAGAGTCTTGACAACTTCTTTCAAGAAATTATTAAGGATAACTGCCTTGAGGTCCTAGAACCAGAAAGTAAAATAATCATTGAAAGAATCCACTAATTATCTCCTGAAAGAAACCCCAAAATGAAAATGCCAAGGAATATTGTAGCCAAATTCCAGAATTATCAGGTCAAGGAGAAAATACTGCAATCAGCCAGAAATAAAAAAATTATATATCATGGAACCACAGCCAGGTTTACACAGGACCTAGCAGTTTCTACACTAAAGGATCAGAGGGCTTGGAATTTAATATTCTGTAGGGCAAAGGAGCTTGGATTACAACCAAAGATCAACTACCCAGCAAAATTGAACATATTCTTCCAGGGAAAGAGATGGGCATTTAATGAGATAGGAGATTTCCAAACTTTTCTGATGAAAAGACCAGAGTTCAACAGAAAATTTTATCTTTAAATGTAAGACTCAAGAGAGGTATAAAAAGATAAACAGGAAAGAAAGAAAAAAAAACCACATTATTCAATAGGTGTAAACTGTTTACATTCCTACATGGGAACATGATTACTTGTAACTCTTGAGAATTGTATCTTTATTACAACATCTAGCAGGAGTATACTCAGACAGAAGGTGTGGGCATAAGTTGACTTTGATGTAATAATACAAAATTAATTAAGGGGTAAAAAAAGGATAGTACAGGCAGAAGAGGAAAAGAGGAAACAGAAAAGGGTAAATTACATTATACAAAGAGGTGAAAAGATCTATTGCAGTAGAGGGAATGAAGGAAAGGAGGCGAATATTGTTTGAACCTTACTCTCATTGAATTTGGCTCAAAAAGGAATATGTACATACTCACTTAGGTACAAAAATTTATCTTATCCTATAAGAAGTAGGAGGGGAAAAGGAAAAGAAAAGGGAGGGTGTGTATAAAATTAAAGGCAGAAGGGAGGGGAGAAGTAGCAAGGGAAAGATGAAAGAAAAGTGAGGAAAGCTGATAGAAGGGAGGACAGATTGAGGGAGGCAGAGGGAAAGGGGAAAAGGAGAGATAAAAGCATAAATGGGGTGGGGGGAATAGGATAGAGAGAAATACACAGTTCGTAATCATAACTGTGAATGTGAATGGAATGAACTCTCCATAAAACAGAAGTGGATAGCAGAAGGGATTAAAAACCATAATCCTACAATATTTTGTTTTGTAATTTTGTAATAAAATAATTAAGAGAAATCATATGATTACCTCAATAGGCGCAGAAAAAGCTTCTAGCAAAATACAGTACCCATTCCTATTAACACTAGAGAGCATAGGAATAAATGGAGTTTTCCTTAAAATGATAAGTAGCATCTATCTAAAACCATCAGCAAGCATTATATGTAATGGGGATAAGCTTGAAGCATTTCCAATAAGATCAGGGGTGAAGTAAGGATGCCCATTATCACCACTCATTTAGTATTGTACTAGAAATGTTAGCTTTAGCAATAAGAGAAGAAAAAGAAATTGAAGGAATTAGAATAGAATGAGTGAGTCAAACAACAAATCACAGAAACAATCAGTAACTTCATCCAAGAGAATGACAATAAAAAGACAAAATGCCAAAACTTAAGGGATGTAGCCAAAGCAGCTCTTGGGGATTTTAAAAAATAATTTATTTGTAATGTATATATAATTTTTTTTTCAGTGAGGCAATTGGGGTTAAGTGATTTGTCCAGGGTCACATAGCTCGTAAGTGTCAAGTGTCTGAGGCCAGATTTGAATTCAGGTCCTCCTGACTCCAAAGCCAGAACTCTATCCACTGTGCCACCTAGCTGCCCTGAGGAAATTTTATACCTCTAAATGCTCATGTGAATAAAATAGACAACGAGGTGATCAATGAATTGGACATGCAACTAAAAAAGCTAGAAAATGAACAAATTAAAAATTCCTAGGTAAATAACAAATTAGAAATTTTGAAAACCAAAGGAGAGATTAACAAAATTACAAGTAAGAAAACTATTGAACTAATAAATAAAACTGAGTTGATTTTATGGAAAAAAATAATAAAATATACTAACAGTTAATGTGATTTAAAAAAAGAAAGTAGAAAGTCAAATTACTAGTATCAAAAATGATAGGGGTGAATTCACCACTAATGAAGAGGAAATTAAAACATAATTAATAGCTATTTTGCCCAACTGTCTGCCAGTAAGTCTAACAATCTTAGTGAAATTGATGAATACTTAAAAAATATAAATTGCCTAGATAAACAGAAGAGAAAATTGAATACTTAAATAACCTTATTTCAGGAAAAGAAATTAAACAAGCCATCAATGAACTCCCTATGAAAAAATCTCCAGGGTCAGATGGGTTCGCAAGTGAATTTTATCAAACATTTAAAGAACAATTAATTCCAATACTATATAAACTATTTTGAAAAATAAGTGAAAGAGTCCTTCCAAATTCTTGCTATGATACAAATATGTTGCTGATGCCTAAACCTGGAAGAGCCAGAACAGAGAAAGAAAATTATAGACCAGTTTCCCTAATGAATATAGATGCAAAAATTTTGAATAAAATATTAGTGAAGAGATTACCACAAATTAACATGAGGATCATACATTATGACCAGGTGGATTTATTCCAGAAATGAAGGGAAGGTTCAATATTAGGAAAACTCTCAGCATAATTGACCACATCAAATACAAAATTAACAGAAATCACATGATTATCTCAATAATTACAGAACAAGCTTCTAACAAAATACAGTACCCATTCATATTAACACTAGAGAGCATAGGAATAAATGGAGTTTTCCTTGAAATGATAAGTAGCATCTATCGAAAACCATCAGCAAGCATTATATGTAGTGGGGATAAGCTAGAAGCATTTCCAAGAAGATCAAGGGTGAAACAAGGATGCCCATTATCACAACTCATTTAGTACTGTACTAGAAATATTAGTTTTAGCAATAAGAGAAGAAAAAGAAATTAAAGGAATTAGAATAGGTAATGAAGAAACAAAACGATAACTTTTTGCAGATGACATGATGACATACTTAAAGAATCTTAGAGAATCAACTAAAAACTACTTGAAATAATTAACAACTTTAGCAAAGTTGCAGGATATAAAATAAATCCCCATATATCATTAGTATTTTTATATATTTCTAGTAAAGCTCAGCAGCAAGAGATAGAAAAAGAAATTCCTTTTAAAGTAATTGTAGACAATATAAAATATTTGGGAGTCCACCTGCCAAGACAAACCCAAGAATTATATGAATATAATTACAAAACACTTTTCACACAAATTAAGTCAGATTTAAATAATTGGAAAAATATTAGTTGTTCATGGGTTGTCTGAGCTAATATAATAAAAATAGCAATTCTACCTAAACTAATTTATTTATTTTGTGCCAAACCAATCAAACTACAAAAATTATTTTATAGAGCTAAAAAAATAATAACAAAATTCATCTGGAAGAACCAAAGGTCCAGAATATCAAGAGAAATAATGAGAAGAAATTCAAGGAAAGGTG